GCCAATCTGATTGTCAACATATCAACGATGTGCACTTTAATCATATACGTCTAAGCAACACCCCAACAATCCAACAACGAGATCGTTTTTGGATTTGCCTTTATCTCGGCGTGCCAGGCTGCAATTAAGTGGGCGAGTTTTTAGATCATATTTACTAGATTGTTTTTTTGTTTGTTGTTGCTTACAGTTCTAACAATTGCCAATATTTGAAATGACAAGAACAATCACATTTAAATTAAGTGCTTTGAAAGTAGATAAATTTAAATTGCATAAAAAAATGTTAAGTCGACCTTAATGACTTTATTCAATGCACTATGCTTCTGTTTAAATCGGGAAAGTAAAAATAATTTATCTTTATTTTTGCAAAATATTAAAAAGGATTTGTTTAACTCAGTCGAACCTTAAATATATTTTAAATAAATTTAATAATAGATCATTGGCAAAAGTTTAATATTTAGAAGCTTTTGAAGTGACAGCTATATAGAAATGACCGACCAATTACATGCATTACTTATGTAAATATGTAATTTTTAGTTTTGTTTAATATAATTCCATTCATAATTTAATTTAAAAATTAGCTAAAAAAAAAATTTCACGATCAATGATAAGTAATGAATGAAATTAAACTACAAAACCTAATTTCGAATAATCCCATATATCAACCACCAATGGTCTTTTCAAAATGTTACTTGGTTGAATCAAAAAAATGAATGAATCAATTAATGTTTATTTTTTCTGCTTCCAAGTAGCACCTATCAAGTGCCAGTCTTGACAAAATCAATTTTTCGTACACTGATTAAGAAGTAACCTTATATTTGTTTAGCGAATTTTCTTTTAGGACGAAAATGACTCGAAGGATATTTTGTTAAAACCACTTACACAAGAATAGCTTTGCGCAATCACAGAACGTTCAAAAGTATAATTGCAAAAATAACTTATACAAAGACATTGGAAGACAATTTACGCTCTAGACATCTGGGTCTCCAGCAGTAACAAGTTAAATGACCAAAATTAAGGTTGTAAAGGGTTAACAAATAGTTATTATTTAAAGAGATATGAACTTCATGTCATCAACAAACTGAAATAATTATATAAATATTTTTCTATTAGACATCTTTCTACAAATTCTTCCTTCCTTCTTAAAGAGCGCACCATACGAAAGGCTCTAAGTTTTGAATATGGTTTATTGATAGTGTAAGCTTATTTCATCCATGATAATAAAATTCATTAATGCGAATTGTTAATTGAATCAACTCGGAAATGTAGTTTGTACTATAAGTAAATGTATCATAAGTATTAGTATGTACTATAACTATTATAAGTATTAGTATAGCTCTGATATATGGTATATATCGGTACTAAATATCGAAATTTTAAGATACTTAGGAAGTAATCCAGATTTATTTTGTCCTGGCCCCATACTAACAACTGCAAATACCAGAATTTATTGATTTTATTTATAAAATCAAACCTTTAATCTTTACTCTATCAACTGGTCAACATTGGAAAATTCTTCGAGTATTGGAAATTTAAAGAAATTTTTTGTTGGGGACTTGAACTCTATTTTTGTTAAGTTTCTCTGTTTCTGTTACTTTATTAGTCAATTATTAGATATTCTCAAAAACATTACTCATAATTAATTTAAACTTTCATTTATATAAATTTCACACACGTTTACTCGACTTCCTATTTCGAGTGATGCCATTAGCGTTACGATCTTTATTTTATATCGTAACAATTATACATTACTGCAGCAGTATCATTTGCTGAACTTAATCCTATTCGCTGGTATAAAAATTCTTGAGCATTTCTAAATACTTCGTAATGACAATTTTGACTATATTGGCCCGACGACCATTAGTCATGAACTGACGTAACAAAAACCGAGTATAATGGAATGCAAAATTGTAAAATTAATAAAAATATTTAAACAGCTTTTGTTATCTCATATCTGTTCCAAATGATTTTTACATCTCTTTACGAAGGTTGTTGATGTCATTAACTTATAAACCCATGAAATTGGCTATATCTACTCTAGTCTCAAATTACTCATTTTGAGAGGTCCACTAACTAACGAGCTAATGAAATTGTCTATATCTACTCTGAACACAAAAAGCTTATCTTGTTGAGAATAAATATACTAAGAAAAGCTCTTAATTTGACACATAAAATTGCATTTTCATATACAAGTATTATGCATTTTGTACATATAATTTGAAAATGTTTATTAAATAATATTATTAATATATTACAAATATTAATATATTAAATAGTAAACAATATTAAATATAAAAAAGTAAATAATCCTGTGATAGAAAGATAACATAATCCAAAGAAAAAGTCTTTTTCTAAACCAACAATAAAATGAGAGAATGGCGAGAGTAAATGCTTTGAAATGACCTATTAGAAATGACCTATTAGAAATGACCTATTAGAAATGACCTATTAGAAATGACTCATTTGGTGTCAGTGTAGCACAAATGTGCGTTAGATCCGGTGCTTAATGATATCATATACTTTATTGTAAGTAAATAAATTTTTTAATCCCAACTCAGCAATGATTTACTGTATAAATATCACAACTATATTATTAAGTACAAAATGAAGCTAAATCTCATATAACATTAAAAATAATAATAGTGTATATATATAGCTATTATGTCAGATGAACTTAATGTATCATATGATGGAGTGTAGTGCAAGACAAAAGATTTAATAGCACTAACATTGAATTATAAACACCTTCGCATAGGCGATCGTATTACTAAGCAATTTTCATAAACGAAGCTTTTGTTGTTCTATTGGTCAAACGGACAGACTGCCTTTTAAGTATAAAATTGCAGAGGTACACACACATAAGCTTTTGTTACAATTAACTTGTCCCACAGTATTAAGTCATTTTTAATTGGAATTTAACATTGACATAAAAGCACTGAAAGGAATTCAATTGTAAAAATTATTAAGCAGAAAAAATAAAATTATAACAAACCTTAAATAAACAAATAAAGCGGCATTTTAAGAACCAAAAAAAAACACGAAAAAAAAAAAACAAAACAGTGACAAATATATTTTATTACCTTTGATTAAAGTCATAACCTCCTTAAAATAGCAAAATGCTTTAAGTGTTTTAACATTTAATGTTAAAATTAACAGAATTGTCTAAGAATAGATTTGAACATACACTTAACACCTATTGTGCTTGATCCGTACACCGTACATTTGAACTTCTATGAACCGTTTTTGTCAAAGGAATTCCTTGACGTCATTGCGGCTTAAGGCCAAATATAGCAGTGAGTGAACTTTATAAATAATAATAAGCCAAATATAAAATACACAAAATAATCCTGTTATATAAAAATTATAATAATGGAAAGAATGATTATTGTTCTGTTGATTTTAGTACTCTTGACACTTGTCATTAAATTGTGAAAGGCTTTTTTGTGGCAAAGTGCGGGCAGACTACGCCTGCAGGAAACGAACGATTGTACTAGAAACGATCGATTTGTATGGCTTCTGTTTCTGTTCTAAATTGCGACATTGTGTTGATTTAACAGCGAACGAAGAACAAGCATTTAATGTCATTTATCATTTAATTGTTGCGCTTTCACAACAATCGCCACATATTCCATTGACAATTTTCACGCCTGTCAACTTAGCGGAAGTCTTGGCCAATTAACGTATCTCTTGCTTATGTATCGCGGCTAAATAATTAGTTTTAACGTTTTGTCAAATTAGCTTAATGTTTTGTTAAAGTAGCCATAACGAAGTAGTATGGTCTTGTCTTTGAGGCGTTTAAGGCGTGTAAGTGATGTTAAGCCGTCAAGTGGTGCGAGAACTGCAGCATATGGCAAGGCAAACAATATCCGCATCGCTGTTATATATATAGCATGTATCTTACAATAAAGACACCCGCTCATGTTTCATATTTCATGTTTTATTAAAGAAATGTATCATAAATATTGTTGATTAATAATTATTATTGGCACGATTATGATCTTGTATCTTGGTTGCGGTATTCTTTTTATTTTATTAATAACTTCTTTACTAAAATAGCATTTCAAGTGCTGTACATTTACACAAGTTTTCGAAACAAAAACGAAATTGTACTCATAAGGCAAGACAAGATTGAAAATATTGTATATTTCCATTATAATTAAATGCCACTGCACTACATACCATTATAACTTGTTCATTTTGGCTAATTAATGTTGCCACTTCGCATTGTTTTTAGTTAGCGGCTGATGGTTGACAGTTGACAGCTTGACAAATTCAAAAAAAAAACATTGTTATACTTTAAATTTGCAATTAATTATTGTTAATTTATTTCAAAATTTTAATTGTTATCGGAAGTTCTAAATTTAGCTGATTTAAGTGATTTATTAATTGCTTACAAGATATTTATTTGCTCAACAGCAAAGTGATGCAATTACTTTATTATTATTTTTAAAATAAATTTAAAACTATTTTTGAATCCGTTTTATTACTTAATAAAATTGAAATCTTAATATCGTATTAAAAAGAAATATAAAATATATAAAAATTTATTGTATTTGGTGACACATGCACAACAAGCAAGCACAAGAACAAAAGACTTAAGCAACGAACTTGTTTTAAGTTTTAACTTTCTCGAAAGTTAAATTTGCAAATTAGAGAATTTAGAATTTTTATGTATCAAAATCAAAAGCAAAGAAAATAATATTAAAATTTAATTTAAAAATAAACAATAAAATAAATAAATGCAAAAATATAACATATTGAACGATTTATCAAAAAAAATAATTAAAAATAAAAAAAAAAGAAAATAGCTAAATATATATATAGAAACTGAAAAAATAAACTTGTTCCTAACCGCACTAAACTCGTTTAATTAAATTTAATTTTATGCTAACTACAAAGATTTTATTTCTATTTATTTTTGCCACAAATTTTATGCTCTCTTGTCTGTATTTTTAGTTTAAAATATGTGAATAATCAGAAAAATATGTTGAAAAAAAATTAAAATCATTAGTAAAGTTATGATTATTTTGTAGCTGTTTTAATTGTAATCAAAATGTTTATAATATTCTTAAATACTAATAAGTGTCTACAAAAACCAAAAAAAAAACGTTTTCCTTAGAACGTTGAACATAGCTCACGTTTAAGGTCACTAATGAATATTCAAATTATACGATTTTCGTTCGATAAAAACAAAGCCTAACAGATCAGACTGAAATTTATATGTAAATAAAAATACTCGTAATGTAATAAAGCGTCAGAATTATGATGTTATTTTCAAAATTTTTATATTACAACATCTTGACATACATAAAAAAAATAGAACAAAATGTAATTTGTTGATTTGTGCCTAACTGTATATGTACAACGTGTTTGTGTATAATAATACTTCCTTGAAGTACGAGTCGTAAACAGGAATTATAATATATATTTTGAAAAATTACTATATGGCTTAATATTTTGGATTATATATTTTCTCTGATATATGATAAATATAAATTATATAAATTACAATATGTTAAAAAGAATGTTGTTGAGATTCTCTCTGTCTCTACCCGTAAGTACCAAGTCTCCAATCGTTCTTAACCCAGTCCAGTATCGGATGTTCCTTAACTAAGACATTTGTTTAATTATTAACTAAAAAATATGTATTATATATGAAAAATAAATCAAATATATACAATTTTAAGTATAACAAAAATTGTTTAAGACTGAATGTAGGGTTATATATCACTTACATTATGAGATTTAATTGATGTAGTTATCGGAATAAAAGCTTCTATCTAGTTATTAAATCGTAGATACCATACATATATGAATAGAATTTCTATTTGGTGGAGTTTGATGTCAACAACTTAAATACCGTAAATGTTCTTACGATATATAAAGTTTATTAAAAATTATTTAACACTGTGCTGGATTTATTATAGTATTTTCACATTGTAAGATTTCAAGTAGATTAAAACAAAGTGTCGCTAATGTAGTTACCAGATTACAAATATACCATGAAATTTACCATTCATAATAATGTTAATTCTCGAGAAAATTAAAATTTAATTTCTATGCAACCTTACAAACATCGTAATATCGTAGATTTTTTTACAATAAAATTAGAAAAATTTAAAACGGTTCCGCGAAACTATATCCTTTTACTTGTCGTAAATATTATTATCCCTGACTTAAGATATGTTAACTCATATCAGAGTTTTTAAGTGGATGTAGAAAGTTTGTCTTTATCAATGATCGGATCATGCAAATATATAAAATATTTATTTGTATATATTTTTAAGGGAATGAACCCAAGTAAGCTAAAACTTTTTTAGAGGAAAATTTTTCATTTTATTAAGGACCTAAACTGCTATGAGTATTTTAACCCACAGTAGACAAGAGATAGGTTAGCCATTTTTCAAAACAATGGTTTTTGAATATCAATTGTGTATGGAATCAAGAACCTAAACTGTCTTAACTTGGACTATCTTAATATATGTAGTTAATTTTTATAAGAATATATCGGCCACTTGAAATAATTGAATTAAAATGCAATTCTATATATGTTCCAAAACAATAATAGGTGTAAAACAAGGCAGTATTATTATTTATTCGGCCTATAAAATATTTAAGCGTTATTAATATGAGAAAGTGATCTTCAACTTTCCTAAGAACTTTCCTAAGTATCCAACTTATAATTAAATCTTTGAGATCATACTATTATATCAGTATATCTTAATTTTTTTAGAGTAGTTGTGAGTTAACTTTTCTAATTATTTTTAATTGGAGAATAAAAAGGCTAAGAGAAATAGAAAACAAAAGTTTATAGATTAATTTTTATTATTGTTTTTAGTATTATATAGTTAACTATAAAGTATGAACGACTTTTCGAAGTTTTTTTGACTTCTTTCTCAGAACAGTGTATTATTACTACTACTTTAACTACAATTAATTTTTTAATTGTTGATTTAATAATAAATTATAATTGCAAAATAAATCAATCATTTTTATATTTAGGGTAAAAATTATATCACCTTATATCATAAATCATAATCACATTAATTAATCACAAATTTTTAAAACTAAATCATTATGTCGTATTTAACATTAAATATAGAAGACACGATTTTAAAGCCTTATAGTATATAATTTATATCCTTAAAAATGCTTATTGAGGTTTCTATGATATCACATACGACCAATTTATGTAATTAAAAATGTGACATATTACCAAAATTAATTACATCTGAACAGTATACATCTGCAAATATTGAAAACGTTTAATTTTATACCAACTTTAATGCAATGCAACTACAAACAATCAATTTCTTAGAATACAAATGCTGTCAAACTTCCAACTCGAAGTACCATTATGCGAAGAAAAGGTTCGACTTTTGGAGACTTCGAGTTAGAAAAAAATTTTTATTTTATTTTTGAAAGAAACTAGGTTTTTAAGATATTTATTTATTTATTTGAAATCAAATACAGCACAAAAGTTATAGTGAAGTAAAATATTCAGAAATCAGGATTTGGGATTTTTATTTCTTTTTCTTATTTTCAGTAAAAAGAGATTCCAATTTATTCAAAGCCTTATAGTGATCATCAGTTGGGGGGAGTATCATTCGTTTGTAAATAAAAATTCAGAATGAGTCTTCTATTTCATTTCTAGAAGGTTAATGAACAATTTCATCCACCGAAATATCATCATCGCTTTCCATTGCGCTTAGAATCGGATCCACTAATTCAGAGCTATAATGCTCAATATTATCGTCATCTGTAGGAACGCTTGATGTACAAATTTCATTGTCAAGCTCAATATAATTCTTAAGAGTAGCATTGTAAGTTATTTTATTTATTTTAAACTGCGCTGCCAGCGACTAGCATTTGCAAAAAGAAGCAACATAAGAAAGAAAAATTAAACATTTGGTTTGGAAAAGGGGACTTTCCCTAACACCAAAATGCACTCATACTTAAAACAAAAATTTGACTTATTGAATATTTTTATTCGAATTATAAAGAAATTTGAGTTATAGAAGTTCGAGTTATGGAAGTAGAATTCTATGTAATTTGCTCTCTAAAACCTTGTTGCACATTTTTTAGTTCGAGTTATAGAAAATTCGAGAAGTTTGAGTTATGGAAGTTTGACTGTTTAACAATATTTTAAGATAATTATTATCACTTGTTTATTTTCTTGAGTAAGTGATCGTATATATTATAAAGCTTTAATAATTTTAAGGTATTTATCAGTAAAATAAATTTAGTTTAAAACTCTAGTAAATCATAAATTATTAGTTAGAAAGTACTTTATATATTTTCGGTACTACTAAGTATTTAAATAAAGTCATTTTAATAAAGTAACCTGTTATACTTGTATATAATCAAACAAAACCTTATAATGAAATGAAATATACTTAGTAAACATTTTTATTTCAGATAAATCTAAAAACAATTAATTTTATGTATTCCAATTCGTTGCCAAATAACTAAAGACTGCTTTAAGCACCTACATTGGGCTCAGAAAACCCTTTATTAAGACCATTAAATTTTTAATTATATCTTGTCATAATCTTTTGTTTAGTTCCTGTCCTATGTAATTATTG